AATGTCACAATTTCGGTGATTGCTACCCGCATTTCATTTCATTTCATTATTTTTTGTGTGTGGTTATTTCGTTATTTGGTTATTGGGTTATATTGTCATTTCCGTTTCCCCCAGCGTCACTTATTAATTTCGTTATTTGCTCCGCTGTCCATTTTATTTATTCATAAATTTTATCAGCACAAATTAAAAACAAATTAGTCGACAGTAGGTAAATAATAATAAAGTGTAATAAAAATCACAGTCGTGGCAGTGGGGGGTTAAGGGGGAATGAAGAGGAGACAGTCTGTCGATATGCGGCGATAAGCGAACTTGATTTGTTTAATCGAATCGAACGGAAATGATTAAAACTTAATATTCATTTAGTTTATTTTGCCTGCGTGAGTATTTCTTTTTTGTCTTTTGTTTATTTATTTATTTTGTTACTGTTGTTGTTGTTGTTGTTGCATTGTAATGACATTTTTATTGTTTTTAATGCGCTTTTAATAATAATTAATTTGCGATTGCAACAATTTGATAAACCAAGTAAATGAAGCGAAGAGCCAAAAACAAATAATGTCATTGCTAGTTGCCGGTATGGAGTATTTTGTGGATTATTTTAATAGAGAGGTGAGGAAAAGGGGGGTGTGTAATTAATGCCAGAGTGTAATTATTTTGTGGTTTGCGCTTGTCCAAAAATAAAACCTTAATGAGTCCTTGATCTGATGTAGTTTTAAATACAAGCAGAACAATATTTTTAGCTTGATTACTAAAGGGTTCCAATAGTCAATCATTAAAAACAGGTTACAAAATATAAATGCATTATTAAATGTATTGATTGTGACTCTTAACTAAAAAAATGTCATAACTAAGCCAAAGAAACATTAATTTTGATTCGGAAAGCTTTCCTATGTTAGTTTTCATTAGGTTAATAAATCTGCATACTCAGTTTAAATTTTTAAAAAAATAATTTTTTTTGCAAATTTTTGATAATTTTAACGACCCCTTATAAAATTTCGAAAATATTTTGAAAATTGGTTTTTCACCTTGAGGTAGCCAGATCGATTCGGCTAATGATGCTGATCAAGAATATATATGATTTATAGGGTCGGAAATGAGTCCTTCATATTATTAGAAGCTTCTGACTAGCATTATAATACCCTACAAGGGTATAATAACCAGTTCTTATAATGTCTAGTTTCGTAATTTTAATTTTATTTAGTAAAAAAAAAACAAGAACACAAGCTGGCTTTCAAAACTATATTAACTACTGGTTAGTTAATCATCACTGGACTTAATTGTATTTGTCGATATGCAGCTTATTTGGTTTCAAAAATCTATTCTAATGTTTAGAAAACTTTTTGTTTTGAAACTCTGGTTTTAAGTACGACAGAAAATTGTAACTTTTGTTAAACTTTCATTACTTTATATCATACCTATAGTTAACCTATTTAAAACCAAATTAAGCAGACATTAAGGCTCATTAGTTTCCATCTAACGTATAAAATAGAACTCTAATCATATATGTATATATTTCCCGATTTCATTTGGCTATAAAAACTGATACCTGCGTAAATGATACGTCTCCGATGCCGCAATTCTGTTCCAATTAGCAATCCCAGTGGATGTGTTTAGCATATATTCCATACAATATATAATTGTATAATATAATCACACGATTTGCATGAGAGAGTAGCTCCCCAAGTAATGCCGATACTAATGATGGCACTACATAATAATCAAATCACTAATGCCACGGGGGAGGGAGGGGGAAAAGCGAGGAGGGAAATTCTTCCTCCTGCTACCTCCCCCCCCATTAGCAGTGAAAAGTTGTTCGGGGAATAGTCTGTAGGAAAACCTAATAGAAAATCAAGCGCAAGAAAATGGCGACCGATAAGGAGCAGCGAAGGAGTAAAGGGAAAATGCGGAAAATGGGAAAGCGAGAGAGGAAAGAAAAGTCAGGCAGGCAAGCAACGCCCCGCAGCAAATTAAATGAAAATTTGTTTGTGTGTGGAAAAATCAAGTGAAAATTAATTGAATTGAGTTGAGTGCGGGCTACGTTGAAATGGTTTGGGGTTTTTTTCGCCGTTTTTTAGGGGTGGTTGTGGGGGGGGGGTTGGTTTTTAACTCTAAAGATCGTCAGATAGCGATAGAAGAGAGGGAGAGCGAAAGAGAGAGAGAAGGGGAAAAGCTGAGAGAGACAGAAGAAGGGGCTCCCGACAAAAACGAAGCTGCCGGAAAAGTTGCAAATGGAATTTTCGGGTTTCCTTTACCATTTCGTGTTTTTTTTTTGTTGTTGTTGCCAATCACAGGCAATGATGAAGAAGTTGGCCCAAAAAAAATTAGGGGGGAAGGTGTGGGAGTGCAGAAAAGGGGAGCAAGTCTTTCGTTCTCCCTTTCTCTAGCACAAAGTCGCTATGCCGCCATCTCTTTCTTTCGGCCATAATTCATTTTCCCAAAGACGGCAGCTGCGCATTGGAAACTGCTGTGGAAAAGCAGCGGCGAGGAAGAAAAGCGGCGCTGTTCTTTTTTTATTTTCGGTCCCCCATTCCATTGCATATTTAAGACATTATTACATTATAATCGCATAAAACAATCAATAAAATGTCAGTTCCTTCACTGCCAGCAGCGCTGCCTGCTGACTTTCTACCTTTCTCCCTCTCTCTCTCCCTTCTTTCTCTCCACTCTCCACTCTCCCTCCTTGTCTTTGTCTTGGCTGGCTGTCTTCTTCTTGCTTGCTGCCTTAAATTGGCCATAATCATATTCATATATGAAATTTCCCACTATTTTTGGCCACGCCTGTCGCCTGCCTAGTATAGCTGTCCTGCTTACACTCGTTTTAATATGGTTGCAACTCTCCCTCTCTGTCTCTCTGCTGCCTTGCACACACACACACACACACACTGATTCACTTTAAATCAATTTTTTTAACGTTTTTCATTTCATTTTCCCCATTGCCTTGTGTGTACTGTTGCGCACTGTTCTCTCTCTCTCTATCTCTTGCTCTGGCTCTCATTCTTACTCTCTCTCGCTCTCTCTCTCTCTCAGTTGACTCTCTGCTGCCTGGCACTTGTGTACTCTCTCGTCCTCTCTCTTTCTGGCAGCCTGGGACAATTTAGTGAGGCAGAAAAATACCATTATTGCATTGGCCATTTTTTTTTTTTGTTTGAGAGGGTTTAAGATGGGTGTGCGTGTGTGTGTGCGTGTGCAGGGGTGTAGTTGTAAAAATAGGGGGTCGTTTTGTGGGGGTGTTGTTGCAGTTTCTGCGTTTTTCTTTTCTTTTTTTTTTGCGGACGGCGCCTTGGCATGTTTGTTAAGTGAAACCATTTTTCTTTTTATTGCTGCGCTGTCGCAGTTGACTTCGCTGCTTGCTGCGGCTTCTGCTGCTGCTGCTGCTCCTTCTTGTTCTTTTTCTTCTTCTTCTGCTCGTCTCGTCAGTGTGTGTTTGAGTGGTTCTCTTTCTTTCTTGTTTTTTTTGTGGTTTGCCTTCGTTTTGTTATTTTCTCGCTTTGGCGCACATAAATTTGAACGTTAATGATTTTTGCTTGCAGTCGCGCATGCGACCCAAACAACAACAATAACGGTTGACCAGCAAGTGTTGAAAATGAGTTTTATGACTGTTATTTGTTGTTGTTGGCGGTGCTGCTGCTGCCGCTGTCGTCGCTGCTTTTGCTGCAGCAGCAGCAGGTGTCGCCATCTCACTTTTTAGCACAGACTCAAACCATGGCCAGCCAACCAACTGTAGTGGTGACACTTTTTTTTGCGTTTTTCTTCTTATTCTCTTCTTCGTTTTGTTACCTCACCCCCCCTCTTCCCCATGTGCACTTGACTTTATTAAAACAAAAGCACACAATGACAATAAAGACGAAGAAGCAGCAGCAGCGGCAGCGGCAGCTTCGCTTTGTCTCGCACACATTTTTCATTTAAACGCCGTGTCCGCCGTCGCCGCCTGTTGCCCTGTTGCCATCCCACTCGCGGAGCCACCTAGAGGGCCGTCTCGCTCGCACCGCGACTTGCCGCAAAAGTCTGCAAAACGCAAAACGCAAAAGGCGTCATTTTAATTCGAATCAATTTGTTTGTCGCCGCCGCCGCGGTCGCTGCATATTGCACAGTGGGCTGAGGTGCCCCAATTTGCTCCACTGTGCAGCGCCCATTGCCTCCTTTTGTGCTTTGCCTTCGAGGATTTCCCAAGGATACTGGGGAGGTTTTTTTTCCTTTTCTTTTTTTTCTTTGTGTGTGTGTGTGAGTGTGTAAAGTGCGCGTGTGTAATCGGTTTGGTGAGGTAATTGACCCACAGTTAAAGGACTTGAATCAGAACATTGAATAAAATAATAACACTATAAAATAATATAAATAATAATAATATAATAAGAATTAAACACTTATAAATAAAGAAAAACTGGAAGGACATAAACATAAGTGTTTGAAAATGTCATAAAAAAGGTTAACCAGGATAACGAAAGGAAAATACTTAAAAAAGAATTAACCGGCAGTTAAAGTAAATTGTTTTAAGGGAATTTAAATAAACTTAGCAAGCATAATTATGACACAAGAAATTATATATACGTGTATATAAATAAAATGAAATTAAGGAAATATATCACTTGAAATATATTCTTTGATTTAAATCGATAGTTTAACCAATCGAAAAAGAAATTTATAAAGATATGTGTGTACAAACTTTTTATAGAGAATCTATGGATCAAGAGATCAAAGAGAAGTTAAAAAGGCGCTTATAATAATGTAAAATTATTAATTGAATTAAAATATTAACAAGATCAAAGAAAATGGACAAAGAAAACAATGATAAGTTAACAGGAAGTTACCAAGACAACATAAAGTTGGTGAGATCATCCTGCTTCAAATACAAAATAAAGCTTAGAACAAAACAACTTACTCAAAGTTAACCCAAAGTTAGCTCAAAGTTAGCTCAAAGTTGGTCCAAAGTTAGCCCAAAGATAACCCAAAGTTAACCCCAAGTTATCGCAAAGTTAACTCACAGTTAACAAACATTTAACCCAAGGATGGATCAGCTGATCAAACAGCTGCAAATGGCAGCCGCTGCCCAGGCGCAGGTGCAGGCACCAGGTCCAATGACCCCACATCCTCATCCGCATCCTCATGCAGCATCCGCTTTGCAACTTTATGCGGCAGCAGCGGCTGTCAACCTGCGAGGATGGCCTCCTTTTCTTAGCCTGCCCGATCCTGCTGGATCCTCCGAATCCCCATCCTCCTCCGGCTGCAGTTCATCCTCCGTCTTAATGCTGCGTCAGATGGCATTGATGCAGCGAGCTAATGCTGCTGCAGCAGCAGCCGCGATACGTAATCGGGAGTTGCAAGAAGATCTAAAGGATATGCAGCAACCACAGGATCAAAGGAGGCACAACCACGAGGGTATGTTGAGGAAAGGAATGTTTATATTTGTATATATTTAATTACTTTATTTAAGATACCCAGAAGTATCTTTCAGATATCACATATTTCTTATAGGAAACTCCCCGAGGAAGTATCTTTTAGATACCAAATATTCTGTAGTTCTGAATAAGTATTACTCACAGTACTCACAGTAAACTCACTTTACACTCACAGTGCACACTCTCTCATTCAGCATTTAACTAATTCCCCATCAAGGAGGATCGTGCAAGGACACTCCCACCAATTGTGGTTATTTATGAGCTGCAAACCAGAAACTATCCTATTCTCGGTACTATGTGTGTATCCTGGCCGCACACTCATTTGTTCATTCATTACATTCATTAACTTTGGCACACAGCCGGTCTCTACTGGCCGCCAGAGATAATGCAATTTTCCAAATGACCAAATGTGCCTGTGCGAATGGTGAAAACAAGTTTTTCCCGGACGCCTTCCCCCCGGTGCGCGCACTTTATTCAATTTACCAATAAAATTTCAATCGAATTGCTCCTTTTAATCAATTCACTGCACACAGTCTGGGTGTGTGTGTTTGTGTGTGTTTGCATGCATAATTCGTTTGTTTTTATGTTTTTTGATCAATTTTTAATCAACAACAACGGTGGCAGCCAGCAGAAGCAGCATTCGCGACAATAGCGTTATTTGCCTTTAGGCCAGATTTTAATGCGTCTGTGTATGTGTTTCGGCCCTGTTGTAATTGATGTTTGTTGCAATTGTTGTTGCTGCTGCTGCTGCCCGGTTTGTTGATTATGCGCGTAATTAAATTTGGCCAGCAAATGTCCTGTGTGGTGTGTGTGGGTTTTAGCCAAAATGCATAATACTTAGTGGCACAACAAGGTAGGGTTTGCTGGGGGTTAAAATAATAGGGGGGATTATTAGCAGATATTTTAATATTTTATAAACATTTTGAAGCATTTTATACATCTCTTGATTATAGGGGAATTATATTTATAAATAATACATTTTTTAAACTAATAATATCCTGAAAAAAACAAGACTTCTTTTTTATTATTTATATATGAATTTGTTTCTCCTTTATTTATAAATAACAAGAAAGGAAGCTTACTTCGGCACGTCGACGTTTCCAGGCCCTTTCAGATTGAAATTCGATAACTAGGAATAAGTACAACATAAATTATATATATATTTATGTTAAAAAACAATAAAGGAAAATTGGAAAAGTTATAATTTTTTTTCTTAAAATTTTCTGATCGTTCCCATGGCAGTTATATATATGTATATATATAGTCCACCGATTCGCCATGCTCCGACTTATATAATAGTAAAATTATATAGACGAATAACTCCATAGTTTCCTTCAAATAGCTTCAAATTTGTTCCAAAACACATCTCGCACATCTGTGCTTATGATTCTCAACTTGTTCAAACATCCCCGTAACGAAGTGACTGCTGCCGGCCAAGTCTTAGAAATGTGTTGTGTTACAAAAGTTGCAAGTCATTGTTTATTAGTGTTCAAAGTTAATTACTGGTGATAGATACGTACTGGTCATAGATACTTACTAGTCATAGATACTGATCATAGTTACTTAATGTTCAAAGATATTTACAGGTCATATGTACTTACTCTTCAGAGTTTATTACTGATCATAGTTAATTACTGGTTATAGTTGATTACTGATCATAGTTCTATAAATCGTCCGATTGTTCCTATATAAGCTATATATATATATTTATATAGTCCACCGATTCGCCATGCTCCGATTTATATAATAGTAAAATAATATAAAAGAATACCTCCATAATTTCATTGAAATTGCTTGTTCTTTATTCCAAAACACATCTCGCACATCTGTGCTTATGATTCCCAAGTTGTTCAAACATCCCCGGAACGAAGTGACTGCTGCCGGCCAAGTCTCAGAAGTTTGTTGTATTACAAAAGTTGCAAGTCATTGTTTTTTAGTGTTCAAAGATAATTACTGGTCATAGATACATACGTGCTGGTCATAGATACTTACTAGTCATAGATACTTACTTATCATAGTTAATTACTGATCATTGTTACTTACTGATCATAGTTAGTTACTGTTCAGAGTTAATTAATGTTCATTGATGCTGTTGATGTTGATCAAGAATATATTTATATGATTTATAGGGTCGGAAATGACTCCTTCTCATAAATATTTAACAAATTCCCAATCGCGATCTGCATTTTTCATAATTTACAAATATTTAGATATAAATAAATAAGAAAATTATGGCATAGTAAAAAATAATATAAATATAAATATTAATACATATAATAGTTACTTATAAAATGGCAACTAATTTAAACCCTAGCAAAAACCTATAATTGATGACCAACATTGATGAATTATATATCTTAAATACTTCCCTTTTTTTATGAGATCTTTTGTTGGAAAACTGCAAGTGACGTGGAAATTGTAAATGTGTGAAGAATATGCACCTGCCTGGCGTAATCGGGAAATGGGAAGAGCTATAGATGCATGGGAAATGAGCAGTGACAGGTGAAAAGTCTGCTCTGTTTTTTGTATACACATATATATATATTTTGTATTTTTCTTCCTCAATGGCACTGCCCAGTGGCCGGGGTCACGCCCAAGCCGGAAAACGCCCCTCGATTTCCCACTGCACACTTTCCTCTATCTTTTCTTTTCTTTTTTTGGCAATTGAACTACTTATGAGCCGCATCCAATTCGAAATATGATGTCTTGCTGTGTGCGCCTCATCCTTATTTTTCCTCCAATTCCAACTTCCCCTCCCCCACCTGATTTTCCTCGACGACGGGAAATTAGCTGCCATTAGTCATTTTTATTGTTTTCGGTTGCGGCCCCGAAAAAAAGAGAGCTCAAGTCAAAGGAAAAATCAAAAGGAGAAGGGAAACACATTGAGAGAGAGAGAGAGAGAGGGAAAGACTTGTGGAAATTGGTTAGCCCAACAATTTGTGGTAGCAATTTTTCTTAACATTTTCTTCGAGGCCCTCGAAAGGAGGAGAAAACCCAACAAGAAAAGAAAAAAAAGGTCGAACGAGAAGCGAAATGTCTTAATTATTTTTGGTAACTTCATTCCTCCTCCCCCTGCCTTTTCCACCCGTGCCTAAACATACAATTTTCGTTTACGACATTTTAATTAAGTTTTTACCCATTTTCCTCTGCTTGTGGAAATTGGGCAAATTAATAAGAACGCCATTGGCACGCCCCGTCAGGTTTTCTTTTGGGGTTTTCTTCGGTTTTTTGTTTTGTTTTTGTGTTTTTGGGTTCTTTTATCAATGGGTGATGAATGAATTGAGCCAGGTGATCCCAGGTGATCCCAGGTGATCCGCTCTCCAGTTCGTCGATGCTCATTAGACATCGCTGACCGCGAGCGCTTCTGGTAATTGCCATAATTTTAGGGGGTACGGGAGAGAATCTACTATAACTTCTTACTGGAAGCCCTAGACCATAGATTAATTGTGATTGTGTCGAGTGGAAAATGAAGATGAAAGCAGGTAACTGGTACACTGCAAAGAAACTAGATTAAAATATGTTTTAGGGAGTTCATAATAGGGGAAATTACAATTTGAAAAGGGGAATTTTACTTGAAGGTATCTAGTAATTGTATCATATTTATTTGTTCTCTTAAATCTTTGAAGCATTTTCTATTAAGACATTTTATTGTTAAGGAATACAGTTCAGTCAGGATATATCACATTCTTTTGTAAACTGTTATAAATATCCCTTTTCAGAGCATGTTTCATCATGTGACATTCTTCTCTGAACTGTTATAAATTCCCTTTCACATGCCTTAAGATGTATACCCCATTTAAAAGGCAAAAAGGCTATTTCAAGATCTTTCTCCCAGTGTAAACTCTATGGTCCATGGATGAATTCGATCCAAAGATTTCTCTCGCCCCAAAAAAAGAAGTGAAAGATTGAGTGGACCGAAAAACAAGACTGGAAGCCCAAAAAGCCGAAAGCGCACAACGAGCTCCCATCAACATCAGCGACTAATGGGACTCTTGTTTCCCCTTTATTTTTTATTATTTTATTTTTCCTTGTTTCTTCTGTTCTTTATTATTATTGTAAGAGATTTGTGGAAGGGCTGGGTAAGAGGGTAACGGTCCCCCCAATTTCCACAGAGAGAGGTTTTTCCTCTTCGGCTAATTAATAAATCGCTCAGAGTGAGGGCACTCGTTGCACTAATTGGTCCGATCGCCTGATGAGGTTTTGACGAGCTTTTTGGCCCGGGAAATGATAATTATTTAAGTGGGCGCCCATTTAACCGATTGCCAAAAAAGAAAAATATATATAATACAAAAAAAAGAACCCGAAACTCTGGGAAATCGGAACGATTGTCCCTGTTTTACTCGCCCACGTTCTTGCATTTGCATTAGCATTCGCATTTGCATAATTTATGAGGGCGACAACCCTGGCCGTTGGCCATAAATTTTAGGCCAGAATGGCAGCCGGCCAACATAGCTGCTTCTTGGCTACTTGGCTTATTTGCTTATTTGTTTATTTGTTTTTTTTAGGCCAACTGTGAATGCATTTTGGCAGTCCTCTTCCAGTCTTCCCCACTCCCCACTTGGCTAATAAAAATCAAAAGGCGTTTTGTTCTCTAAACTTAAATTGAAAACACTTTAGGCCAACACCAGTCCTGCCCCAAAAAAGGAAAAGGAATAAAAAAAGAAGGTATATCTCTATATATATATATATATATAAAGCGGGGAAAAAACCAAAGGATAAACACTTCAAGGGGCGGATTTGGCTTAGTGTCCCGGTCTCCCCCCCCACACTTTTGGCCAACATTGTACCGTTTAGCACAAAGATGGCGGCGCTAGATAAAAGCACATTTTTTGTTGCCCCAAAAAAATAAAAAACCAGCCGGGAAAAAGGGGTAACACAAGGTGGGAGGGCCACTTGACTTGTTTCCCATTTATTTTTCTTTTTTTTTCTGTGTTGTATTTTTAGCTTGCTACCTTTGTTGGCCATTTACAGTTTTGAGGC